TTCACCTCGAGCCAGTAGGAGGGGGAGAGATGTTTATGTACTATGACTGGAGTCAGTGCATTGTCACAGCATATGTGAACAGCCAGGTCAGGAGAATCTCCAGAGCAGTCCTCCTGAAATCGTCTAGATATTTTCAGTAGTGTATATGTGTAAACGAGTGACTTTTTTTAATGAGATTTTATTCAGTTTTTTCTTTACTATATACACACTGTGTAGCTTGAGAGTGCGTATGCATGAATTTGTTCCTGTTGATGAGTAATTGAGAGAATTGCTGAGCCAGTGTATGACTGAGCGAGCGAGTGAATGAGCAAATAAGTGAGCCAGCAAGTGACTTATTGGAGTGTGTGGGTGAGCGCCCGAGCAAACGAGCAGCGCTTGCATGAGTGTGTGTGTGAGCAAGTGATTCATTAGTATTGATACAGTGTGTTTTCAGTGTTGCTGCAACTTGTTTTCATGTTGTCTGGCTGCCAAAAGGTCTGCAGTCCACCATAATGGAGCATGTTGTTGCAGAATGACTGGTGTAACAGTCTGAGTGGTTGCTCTGCCCACAGCTCTTAGCCTTGCTACACGCCGCACTGATCTCTGTTCACATCCCTCCTCCGCCTCGACAGACACTCGGCTTTTCTCCGGCCTCTGCTCCATCTTTGCCATGGATGGAGGCGCAGCGGTCAGGGCAGGGAACCCCGCTCCACCGCCTGACTCCTGCAGCTTCTAATAGGCCAGTCTATGCAGCCTTTTCTGACATTGGCTGAGGGAATGTTCCTCATTTCTGCTCTGCTCGATATGCAAAGAGGTCTGGGATGCTGCCAAAGTGCCAAACTTTATTTCAGAAGTGTTAGAAAAATCAGCATGACTTCAGTCTCGAATGTTCTTTTACTCAGCTAAAGCTTCTCTGAGGAGTTTTTTATCTGGTTATGAAACAGAATGAAATGAATAGTGATGCCTCTCTATGAGATATAAAAGTAGACAACAGCATCAGGGACAAGACTGATTATTAAGTTTTCCCTTTCCACTGCAGCCCAGCAGGGTGGTGTCAGACAGAACATTTTACTGAATGTAGAAAGACCTTTTTGTTTTCACATTTTACACTTTTAAAATATCACAATCAGTGATATGTTTGACATTTAAAAAGAAGAGAGAGGAATAATCTTTGTTAGAAAAATCTACACATGCATTGGACATGCTCAAGAGAAAAGACAACAGGGGGCACCAAAGGCGGCAGTATCTCAGTCTGTAGGGACTTGGGTTGGGAACCAGAGGGTCGCCGGTTCACATCCGGTGCGGACCAAATATGGAAGATCAGATCACCTCCAGAGCACTGCCGAGGTGCCCTTGACACCCTCCCCACCACCAGCTCAGGAGCGCCCGCTGTGGGCAGCTCCATCACTCCGGCTTCTCTCCATTAGTTCATGTCCATAGGATCCTGTTTCTGCATGTGTGTGTATATTTCAGCCTATGTGTGTGTTCATGACCTACAGAGTGTAAAAACTGAAGTTTCCTCTTGCGGGGATCAATAAAAAGTCTCTTGTGAGGAGTCTCTCTTAATACCACTTCCAAAAAAAAATGCTGGGCCACTGATGTTTTGTTGGGCTACCCACTGATTTGACTCATCTGTCAAGGTCTGATTCCCTGAAAAGTCTTTCTCTTCTTTATCAGGATCTACTTTTTTGTTTGAAGCTGCACAGAGGCGCTGCTTGTCAACAGGCATGGCAGGCAACTGCTTGGGGCCCCAGACCAGTAGGGGGCCCTCTGAGGGCTCTGAAACTTTAAGCCAGAGCAGCGGCTCAAAATGTGCAAATTTTGCAATGACAGTAGGAAACCCCCCTAAGGGGGCCCCATCTGACAGCACATACTCTGGATGCCGTGTACCAACTATAGTAGAGAAAACAGAAACGTGAAGAAAGAGGAAAAGGAGGAAGCGCCAGGACAATGGAGGACAT